CTTGCAGTACTGGCAACTTGGAATATGGCTATTTCAAACAGTTTATTTCCGTTCGTGACACAAAGCAAAAGCATCGATACAACTGAATGAATTGATTTTATGTTAAAATAAACATTTTAATAATATTTTAGATGCGAAAATAATAGTTCAAGTGCACTAGGCCTAGGTCTACTGTAATTGGTTAATTAAAAAATCTCAAAATTAAATTGTACGAATATATGTTCGTGTTCTTGGTTTGGCCGTGTATTAGACTAATATTCAATAAATCATTCATATGAAATCTCTACGTATTTATGAGAATCTGAGAATTTAAGAGAAAATGAATTTGATATTAATTCAGACTTCATTTATTGCAGGCAAGCCATATGAAATAGGCCTCATTTACAAACTTGGAATAATAATACATTACCGTACATTCAAAATAAGCCCCACTTAACAGTAACGTTCGTGACAGTTTTCCATGTTTTATTTCATTATAAGTTATCACAAAATAAACACCAATTCGTCTAAAAATATAAATAGCCTATGAATATTCGACATTAACTTCTCCGTGTACGACGGAATGGACTTCCCCTCTTTTGAACTCAACGCTGTTGAAAGTTCAACGTATAGTCGCGGAACAATTCAGACGCGTTCGGACCCGTTTTGACGGCCAAACAAACATGTGCAGTAGGCTGTAAAGAGTGGGAGGAGCTTTTGCCAAAACGGAATATCAGCGTCTAGACGGTGCAGTATCGAACGGGGGTTTTGAGACGCGTCTGGTAGAACAATAGAAAACGCGTCTGAGCGCTGATTTGTCGTCTGGAATAATTTGGAGATCACGCCTAAGTGTAAACCCTGTCCGGTTGGGATAGAGGGGCACTGTACATTGGTGGCTTACTCACTGAACATAGCTGACCCAGAAGCTGGAAATGAGATTGACAAGAGCGAGTTGAGACATTGAGTCAACCGCAAGTAAAATATATAATATATTGGAACTTTGATCTTTGGAAAACAATGAACATTGTGAACACTGGGTAGCGGGGGATTGAATTGTATTACTGGGTGTGTTGTTTTCACCAGTGAAATTGTAGATGAGGTATTTTTGGAGGGGGACTGTTGTTGTATGTGTTATTTGTGGGGAATTAACAGTTAATGTATTTTGATGTGGGATGGTCATTGGTTTTCAAGGTTAATGTGGGATTGGTTGATTGAGGGTTGATTTTAGCTAGGGTATTGAAACGTGGGGGTTGGTTTATGTTATTTGGGGGGTTATTTCTTACTTATAATAAATTATCTTGCAAAGTTACGTACGTTTGCCTTTTGACTTATTGTTCAGACGTGATCCGCTTAAGGGGGGGGGGGAGACTAATACAGGGAACCTGGCTTGTGACAATGGGGGCTCGTCCGGGAGAACACAACCAGGTGGAAAGAACCTTATAGTAGGGGATTCTTCGCCTGTGCACGTCTGGATTATGAGTAGTTATTGTTTGGTACAAATTCTAATTATATCAGTTGATCTGTATTCATATTTATGTTTATTGTTATTTCAATATTGTTGTAGTGAGGGTAACGTGACAAAGTAAGGTGAATTCTCCACGTTTGCTTAAGTACAACCCATTGAGTAAATATGGAAAAAATGGACTTGGAACATATCATGGAAATCGGTAGAGAATTGGGGCTTGACGGGGAAAAGCTTTTAGATTTTATAAAGGAGCGTGAAAAAGTGAATGCTGAGCGCGAGCGGCTTTATGAGGAACGTGAGGAGCGTAATAATCGCCGAGCGCATGAAAAATTAATGAAAGAATATGAAATAAAACAAAAAGAGTTAGACCAAGAACAGCGTAATGAAAACGTTAATGAAGCGATCGCACCAGCACCGCCGCCGGCAATGCAACACATTCCCCCCAAGTTACCTAAACTTCCTCCTTTTAATGATGGTAGGGACGAGCTAGATGCGTATCTTAAACGTTTTGAGAGGTTTGCAGTAGCTATGCAACGGCGGGAAGAAGATTGGGCCACTTCTCTTAGTGCGTTACTTACGGGTAGGGCTCTGGATGCATTTGCACGGATGCCTAGTGCTAGTGCTAGGGATTACAAAGAGGTAAAGAAGACCTTACTGAATAGGTACCTGCTGAGCGAGGAAGGGTTTAGAATTAAATTTAGATCGGCTAGGTTAGAATATGCCGAAACATATACTCAGTTTATAGATCGCATATCAGGATACTTGACAAGATGGATTGAGTTAGGAGGGGTGAACAAAACATATGAAGGTATATGTGAAATGATTGTAAAAGAGCAAACATTGAAAGTTTGTAGTAAAGCTCTTTTCCTTAAGGAGAGGGGGTCTGGAAGTTTAGCTCAAATGGCAGCTTTAGCAGACCATTACGCGGAAGCACACAACGACCGATATTTTGCGGAACGTAAGCCCCGTAGAGATAATAGTAAACCCACAGTAAATAATTCCCCTAGTCCCAAACCTAATTCTAGTGGAGCCCCTCGCTTAAGTAGGGAAAGATTAAGTCAGCTTGAAGTAGAGGGTAGGTGTTACGAGTGTGGGAGACAAGGGCATATTGCCCGAGATTGTCGTTCGAAACCGAATAGTTCCCAATCGTTCACTAAAAGAGGTGCAAACCTAATCGTTGGTAGCCAAAGAGATAGCAGTGGTTTTGGAGCAAAAGAAACAGGTATGGCTTGTTTGCCGGCAAAATCAGGCATGTGCGATTGTGGCGATATCGTAGGTAAAGATGTGACATTAAAATGTGGCCATAGGTTACCCATAGTTAGTGCAGCATGTACAGCAAGCAATACTATGCCGGTTACTAAAGGGTATATTGGGAAAGACTTGGTTAGTGTGATGCGTGATACTGGTTGTAGTACAGTAGTTGTTAGGCGCGGCTTAGTCGATAATTCCCAGATGCTAGGTATTGATGAAGGTTGCATACTGATGGATGGTACCGTTCGTAAGTACCCTGTAGCTCAAGTGCAATTAAAAACACCCTATTTTTCAGGAACTGTTTTAAACACTTTGTGTATGGACAACCCTGTGTATGATGTCGTCATCGGAAATATTGAGGGGGCAAGGCCGCCCCACGAACCTGTTCCAGCTTGGGGTGCAGGACAAGATAATCTTCACTCTGACGACATCGACCATGTAGTGAATGAAGGAGGCGAAGTAATCTCTCCAGACGGCGATTTAAGTGAGAGGGAACATTCTAAACCCATCCAGTCTGATGTTAACCCGCCGGTAGTTAATCCAATAGTAAAATTAAATGAAGCCCAGTCCGTAGAGACCAGGGGACAAAAGAAGAAACGGGAGGCAGGAATTAAAGAGTTAAAGGTTTTAGATGTTTCCATGTGTGATGCAGCTTCATCTCGTGAAGAAATGTTAAAGGCTCAGAGGGAGGATGAAACTCTGGAAAAGCTCTGGAAGTTGGCCGAGAATGAAGAAGTGCGATTAACTAGTAAAGAGAGTGAAGTGCGTTACAAGATAAAAGATGGGTTGTTGTACCGTGAGTTTAGTTCACCTAAAGTAGACCATTGGCACACTTATAAACAGTTAGTTGTTCCCAGGAAATTTAGAAACTATGTTATTCGGGTGGCCCACGACTCTCCAATGGCGGGGCATATGGGTTCTAAACGTACTACTGCGTTATAAGTTTAAAAAAATCAGTTATTTCCTCAATATTTTGTTCTAATAATTCACGGACACCTCGATGGAACCTATCTTTATGCCTCCTATACCATCAATTTCGAACTAACGTTGAAACCTAGGTAGCGGAATACATTAACATATTCTAGTTTTACACCATCAATTTCATAAATATTGTCTGGTTGAACATCCAAGGAATTAAATAGCATAAGACTTTGTTTTGTCCTTTGCAATAAGACCAAACTTTAGAAACACTCGATTTACGATGGTAAGTATTCGGCAAAGTTTTTCAGCGTCGGTCTCCAAAAATACAAGGTCATCGGCATACAGGATCTTGAGTAGTCTGCCATTACCTGTATCTCTCCCCGTTTTTCTCAATTCCCTAGGATTAGACTGTGTTGGTATGTGATACTTAAAATCAACTCCTACGTCACCAATTTCAAGTTTGATGTCACGATCTATAACAGATAAAACATAATCAAAGAATAGGTTGAATAAGAATGGCGATTCCTCTGCTCCTTGTCTCACTCCTGATGTAATATCAAACAATGTAGAACCACCTTGGATCATAGCTATGGTTCCGGTATAGTAAGCTTTGATTATTTTTACTAACTTTTTGGAGCCAAGTTGAATTTCAAGTATTCTGTACAATTGTTCTCTTGAGATGAGATCAAAAGCACCTTTAAGATCCAGGAAAATTGCATGAACTGGAATATTCTTCTTCTTGATGAGTTGAGTAAATGTAAAAATTGCATCAGTAGTTCCAGAATTTCGGCGAAAACCAAACTGATCTTTTGACAGTATATGGTTGTATCGTTCACTAATCCGAAAGTTGATGATTTTAGTCACAATTATTGATAAAGTTGCTATCATTGACACTGGTCTATAATTCTTGGCAATGAGAGGACTTTCTTTTTTGTACAGAGTTGTGATTTTACTGATTAACCGGTCACCAGGAAGAGTGGAATTATTCCAGATAATAATGGTCATTTTCAAAATCAATCCCACAAAGGCTGAAGCAGATTGAGCAAATTTTGTTTGTTCATTAGTAATTCCATCTGTACCCTTAGCTTTGCCATTTTTTAATCCATTTATAGCATCCATCACTTCAAAAGATGTTGGATCTGACTCATCAATATCTGGGGCTGTTTTAACAGCATCAGGAATAAATGGATTGTTTTCGTCGAGTTCTATTGTAAGTGGGAGATTCCGATTTTTTAAATGGTTGGAAAAATGATCGACAAAGTCTCCTTCAGTACATTGAGATTTTACCTCTGTCTTCTTAAGTGGACCGTCTAAATCTTTTGCTAAACGAAAAAATTCTTCGGTCTTTCGAAGGTGGAAATTTTGATTGATTTTATAAGCACGTTTGCTATAAAAATCATTTCGTAACTTTTTACGCAATTTTTTGAGTTTTTTACAAAGAGTTTTCTTCTTTTTTTTGGACTTTCTCAGATATCATTTCCAATCGTAGGTCAATATATTCTTGGGATATCCAAGGATTTTGGTTTAACGAAGACTTTTGTTGAAGTTGAATTTTTGATGTGGTAGCTAGCTCAACAACTTCACACATTTTCGAATTGATAATTTCAATATCTTTGTTATCACCAATCTCTTCAAAAGCAGCTTTAGCCAGCTTGTCAACTTCGTCAGAGTACTCATCTCTAAGACGTTCGTCATTTATAAGGGCTTTGATGTTATGCTGCGGTTGAGGGGATCTTTTAGGTTTTTGATTCAAATGCAATATCTTGCGGTATCGTTTTTTGGTATCGTGATGTCAATCACCAGCATTCTATGATCTGTTTTGATATGTGGATCATAACTCCGACAGTTGGTTGAGTACTTGTGTATGTATTCGTCGACGACGAAATAGTCGAGACGTCTCGTGTATTTAGTTAAATTTGCAGACTTGAATGTCCACTGATGACAGCTTCGTTTTGTTTGATGGAATGTGTTTTGAAGAAATAGGTTATTTTCACGGCACCATATTCAACAATGTATCACCGTTGTACGACGTTTCATTCGCTTTGTCGGTCACCTCTGGACCAAAGACATTACCAATGTTTCGACAGGTTTGGTGAAAGAGTGTGGCATTGAAGTCGCCACCACAGATAATTCTGTGTGATTTGATGGATTTGAGATGATTTTGGAGATCTTTCCAAAATTTCTCTTTGGTTGACTCTGTATATGATTCGTCTGGTGCATAACACGATACTAAACACAATTTTTGTCCACATAAAAGTATACTCACTGAGAGAATTCTTCCTTCCTTGACAACCTTAGTATCTTGTACAACACAACGTGGTAAGAGTAAAACACAGACGCCTGGGGAAGTTGGCGGGAAAAACAAGTTGGAACGACCAGAAACAAAGGCATAGTTCCAGGGCGGGCAAATGGATTGGGAATGACTAAAAACAAAGTCATAGTCCCAAAAAGGCGAGAAAGAAGGTTGGAACGACCAGAAACAAAGGCATAGTTCCAGGGCGGGAAATGGGATGGGAACGACTAAAACAAAGTCATAGTTCCAAAAAGACGGGAGAGAAAAAAAAAGATTTGGAACGACCAGAAACAAAGGCATAGTTCTAGGGCGGGGAAATGGGCTAGGTCCGATTAAACAAGGACAGCCAGATATCACTAATGACAAGAGAAAAAAAATCACTATTAGGTTTCATTTATAAAAAAATGATTTGTTATGTACTTGTGGTTGTAAATATGATTTTGATCACTTGTGATAGGTAATATAATTATTAAACCTTTAAAAATTTTACATAGAAATGAATATTGTAGAAATATCTCTCAGCGGTATAAACCTCTTTGATATCCATATACTAAATTTCGTAGTACATTAACTATTACGTTTCTATTAAAATTTATAAATAAAATGATTATATCAACGGAATTAGAAAGCTACACCTCTTCACGGGTATATGATATTCTACGTCATTGTTTTGGCTTTCCTGCCCCCAGCCAGAACAATGCCACTGTCAATTGTTGGCTTTTGTATAGCTTTTGTATAGCTTTCTACTGGTAGGCTCAGCCTTTGTTTAGTTTTCAACCAATCAGCAACTAGCCTTGTTTAGTTTCAACCAATCAGCAGCAAGTCTCATTACTCAAACATATAAGTATTCCCAGTTCGAGATCTCTGCAGACATTATTCTCCTGAAGACCATTGAAGCAAGTCAATCGAAACGTCGAGATTTTTTCTCAACTCCAACAGTTCTTCTCAGAACTACACACGTGGTGTACCGCAAGTTTCACATATATAAGATTCTAACTTTATTGAATATTATGGTTTACTGGAGCAATAAAGACATCAACTGGTCGTAGATCGTTTAATTTTAAATTAAATCAGCCAGACTTTCCATTTAATTTAGAACAAATTTTAAAAGAAAAAAAGGAGTCCAGAAGAATTTATGATATATTCTGTACAAATTTAACTTATAAAGAAACTTATAAAGATAAATGGGAAAAAGATATTGGTAAAACAATTGAAGGTTCGAATTGGAAAACAATTTCATCGGTCGCATTTAAATATACCAAAGACACCAATCTAAAATGGCTACAATATCGTATCATACATAGAATTTTAGGAGTAAATTCTTTCCTTTTTAAGATTGGGAAAATAAATAATAATTTATGCACATTTTGCCTTGCCAATGAAAAAATTATTGAACATATTTTTGTTAAATGTGATATTATTTCCCGTTTTTGGAATTAAGTGTTATCTTTCTAGTGGGAAAAATGCAATTGTTGATAGTTCCAAGACACTTGTACCCACAAGTCACCTTCAAAGTCTCAACTTCCCACCGGGTGGTGCTAAATTCAAAATTGTATTCTGGTGATCAAGTAAAGTTATCGCTCTTTCTGCAGAATTAATCAGCTGCAATGACTAGCCCGGAGGAATATTTACTAGCTATTGTAAGCTGGCCTAGTGAAAAATCGTGCCCTGCGTAGATAGGTGATCTATTCACGATCATAGTGTGCCTAAGGTGGCAAATACATCTATCGGGAATTTGTAAAATTTGTTCACTTAAAGCCCCATTCCTGGCAAAATTTCACTAAAAATGACTTTTTTTAGAAATAATGCATTTGCATTACTCCAATTATTATAAATCATGGAAAAATATTGGCATGAATTTTAGTTTTACGCAAAAGAATAAAAAAAATGAGAAATACAGACTATTTCTCATAAAATATTACCATTTTCTCGACGAATTCATCGTTACTAGGCAAATTCAGAGGTTGTAGATCGCATCCACTGGAATACTCTCGCTTTTATGTATACTTTATACAGTCAATAACGTGCGCCCTCTCTAATGAGATTACTTTTTGTACTTCGCATCTCGCACAATGCGGTCGTTCGGTTAGGCTGAGATATGTTTGTTTAAGTGCCTAAAATCGAGGTAAGGCTAGGCCTAGCCAGCAGCGTTGGATAGGCTAATGTTTTCGGCGCCTACGATATTTCTTCTCACGACCTATCGCAAAATCAACATGAAAAATTCATCCGCATTTATTTTTTGTGTGGAACACAAAAAAATCAAATTTCAGTCTTATTTTACATTTTTTTCATTCTTAGGAATGTCTAAATTCAGTTAAACTAGCAATTCCGTATTATATTTATAAATCTTCATAACATTATACAAAAATTAGATTTTTCTTAAAAATTGAAATTTTGCCGGGAATGGGGCTTTAAAGCGTATGTATCTTTAACACTTGGCTTTCTAATCTTTTATTTTTCAATACAGGACACCTGAAATAATTAATTTACTGAGGGAAAAAATCTTGGAGAACAAACCAATGAAATGTGGCCTTTACCAGACGTCGACATCCAATCCTGGAATATTCCAAGAAAAAAGGATTGAAGATCTAACATGGAGGGGTCTAATAAATGCTGCATATTATAGGATGAACATGCAGATTAATTGTGAATGCGATGGCAGGAAAAGTAAGCCGACGCCAGCTGCAATAACTAAACACATACTAAAAAAACATGGTGTCATTGATAA